CTAGAAGAAATTAGGACGAAGGTGGGTGGTTGCCCTAGTCCAGGGCCCCACTGGCCTTTGTGGCTCGCTGGACCTGATGGAGCAGAGCAACTTAGCTCTTTCGATCCTTGCTCGCAAGCCAGCCCTCCCGCTGCCTCTCAAATAGGTTTCTCCCTAATAAAGGTGAATCAATTTCGAGTGGCCCGAGTCCACACGCCCAGGTTGTGTGAGTGAGAGATGGCCACTCCCATCACCACAGACATGTGTCCAGGCACTGCGTTTGGTGGATTTTGTTGAGAATTAGTAGATGGGGATAGTAATTTTCTTGAAATCACTCACTTACTGAAATTCATTACAAAACTCATTAGAGTGAGAAGTAATTTCAATCACTGTAATATCTTTACTGCTAGGCCTGTTTAAATCCTTGCGTATTTGCATTCATATGAACTGATACCCAAGTAACCAAAGTCCATTCTGAATACAAATGTCCGACCGTATGGATATCCAGCATAGATAGCCAATGGACATACTATGAAAATTCATGTCCCGTGTGGCTGTTTTCTGGACGTCCGAACCGGATGTCCGACCGGACATTAAGTTTTGAACTTTGACCGGCAGTTCATATAAGGACATGCCAAGGATATGTGCATTTGCTCATGAATTATTGTAGAATTAGAATGTAGTGAAAATATACATAGATCTGCAGAACCCTGAGTGACAATCTTGTAAAATTTTATTAAAAAGGCTATTGTAAAGTTTATTCAAATGTCTGCACACGCATTTGATCCCAGGATGCAAAATAATTTTGCTTACTGAGGCAAAACAATCTGGTTGTTTCAATATGTGTATTGGATGTCATAAAAAAGAATGTATCTAGTGTTATTATTATCGCATATGAACTGACAAAAATGCGGATAGAGTGTGTCATAGTAGTCATCATGTAGGCAAACTTTCATGCGACAGCCTCGACACTTCTCAACAAGCGGTGTACTACAGTTGCTCAGATTCCTCAAAAGTACATGTCATACTCCCGTGCCCCTCTGGATGTGTTGTGAGAAACCACATGCCATTGTGCCTATTGTCCCGAAGCCTGCTGGACCAGTGGCGAGCACCGTGGAAAGAAGCACGAGAAAGGAGGGTTTGTCGTGTCGCACGTATGTGCACTGAGCTGATCTCCAAGCAGCAGAAGGCAGTCAGATTTTTCTTTTTCAAGTGCGCCCATGTGGACATCAACAGCAACATGTGAAGTTACGAAGGATGACTTTACTAAAAGAAACCCCAAAACGTGGCATGAGCTCACCATTGTTTTCGGCAGATTAGCGGGGCAAGCAGCAGCAACCACGCTCACTCGCACGGCACAGATAAAGCCACATATCTGTTCTTTATGTCTCATATCCGGCATTTATCCGTTCTTATCAAGCGTTACCAATTTTTCATAATTTGTATAAGCCCTGCTAATACGTGCATGTTTCCAGTTCTTCATTTGCTCGCATATTCCTTGCTGTTAACCGATTTAAGACGAGCATGTGGTCTGTGCCTGTGCACCTTCTTTATAAGCATGTGCTACACCCATTAGTCTTTCTCCTGTGCTTGTCTGTATGTAGATATTGCGTTTACTAAAGAATAACACTGCCATGAACACGTGCAAGCTGGGTTTGTTGCTAATAACTTAATTTATTTAACCCATACAGAAGCAATTGCTACTGCCTAAGAAGTTCAGTGTTCGATGCCCTTCCACCTGAAGGCGAAAGGGCATTAAACACTTTGATTTTGTAAGACTACGTACACACTTTCACGATGGCGGCTGCGTAGAGTGAGTTATGTACTTCTTGCCTTCGTATATGTGGATAATAAAGGTTCAATTGTTTTTGAAAGCCTGCTTGGACTCTAGTCTTTTTTTTAATTCGTTTGCAACAGAAAAGCTCCCATGGGAAACAGACGGGCCTCCGAGTAGGCTGTGTGGGTACGCTGCTCACATAAAAGGTTTTCTTTGAATAAGCACTAGCTATATAAACACAAACATTTTATATATATATATATATATATATATATATATATATATATATATATATATATATATGTGTGTGTTTGTGTGTGTGTGTGTGTGCACGTGCGTGAGTGTGTCCTTTGAAGGGCTTGTTGATGTCCATGTTGGCTGTCCTAGAGGGATGTCGAGCAAACGTACAAATTTGTTACCTTTGTACATCTGATGTATGTCAATCGGACATACAGTGACGTACAGGGTACATTCGTGGACATTTGATGGATGAATGGCCGGATTATCCAAAATGTACATCCTCTCATATGCCTATCGGATATCTGTGGTTACTTGTGTAAGAGGAGAAAAAAAAAGAAGGAAATGAGAATAAAAAAGGAGTAGGAAACATGAAAACAAAGAAACAAAACGAAGAGAAAGAGCAGGAAAGAAAAATAAAAACGTAAAGTACAAGAGAAAAGTAGATTATGAAGAAAAAGCAGAAAAAATAATTTATTCGTACGACGGGAGTAGTCATGATAGTGTCCCTTGGCCACAGACAGACAGACAATGAACTACAATCCATCCTGAGGAGTTACTGACAGGGCCCCCCTAAAACAGGGGCCCACCGTAACCACTGGCTGCGCCCACATAGAGGAGAGAACGCCATGATGCTCCATCCTTTCCTGGGCCCTCTGGACAGCCTGGGTTTACATTTGGAGTGCCGTGCTTCTTATGGCCTCCTCCCATTTGGCTTCGCTGGAGAGGACGTTGTTAGGCGACGCAGGATATTGCCAAAGCATGTGAGCCAAAGAACAAAATCTTTCCCCGCAGTAGGTGCAAACAAGGTTAACGTCTGAGTATAATTTACTGAGAAATCCCTGCAACGGCAAAGACCCCATCTGCGACATTCTCAGAATGGCTGACTGATTTCTGCTAAGCTTCGGGTGAGGAAGAGGATAGGTTCTCCTGCCAAGCTGATAATGTTCAGTTTTTTACAGACGAGAGTCTTTCTTGGGGTACTTTGGTGCAAAAATTTTGGTGTCTGTCTTTTTGTCTGTACATTTGTGTGCTTGTCCACCGTAACGATACGCCAAACAGCCCCAGATGATACTCCAAACGGCCAACCCCATCTGCAGCCCCCCTAATATTGCTAAAGTTTCAGCATTCATACTTGTGCAATTGCCAATTATAAAGCAATTATTGCATACATCTGAGGCACCATAACAACACATCAATACTTTTATGTGTATCTTTATGCTAGAGAAGGCATACATAAGTAACTCTAAGGACCATAGCGTTTATCACGCTGCGCTGAAAATCCGACACGATGCTCAAAATGGCAACTGTTTCCAAAACTCTGCTAAGACGACACGGTGGTTTGCATTCTACACCTTACCGTCTCAGAGACAGGCACACATGCCTTCCTTCATTTTCGAAGATAACTGCTAGGTAGGGCTCGTGTCTAACTTGCCTCAATGCGCTTGTTCACCTTCGCTGCACAAACGTTAGCTGCACGGATGGAGACTCTCTAACGCAGCACCTCCAGAATACAATTCACCGATTTTCTCACACAGAACATTAAATAAGTGTTTTATTCACTCTCTCCAGACACATGACTATCGTCTTTCGACGACATTCACGGTGAAACATGCAGATACAGGGCCAATTTTTTTCATTGAATGTTGGAAGTGGATCGTTCTACTGAGTATCTTCCTGCCCCTTGCCTCCAGACCATCGCGGTGCGTGAGTTCACACACACGATCGTGAGCCAGCTCTTTGGGGTTTGGGAAGCCCTCGAGAACGTTCTTCCCCGTGTGTGCAGGGATCCAAGTGATGAAATGAGACCTGGGCCAAGCCTTCTCAAGAATCGAGGCCACCTCTTGAGTGAGGTTGCCTGATCCAAAAGCTCTGATTGGCTCCCTCAAGCCGGTGCAAATATAGAGACGTTCTGGGTCTGACAAAGCCAACGTAACTGGGACTTGCTCAGCTATGCCCAATGTGGCCGCCCTCCTGAGGCAGAGGAGCGATGCACTTCCTGCCTGTCTATAAATGGCAGCACAAGCATCTCCAGTTTCTACACTGCCCTGCATCAACAAAGACAACAGAGTCCATGTAATTCCTAACTCGTTTCAAGATAGCTCGTGCCCGGGCTTTTCGCCTACCCTCGTTATACTGGAAATCTACATTTCGCGGGTAGGGCCCCACCACGGAGGCCACCCTCGTTTGCCGACTCATTGTTGTGGGCCGTTCCTACATGATCCTAGGGGCCAAGCCAACCTCGTCAAGGATTCTCCAGCCAGCGTTGTACGACAATATCCTAACCACCTGAGCAATGACCTGCACCTCTATGATCTCGTATATGTTATTATGCATATCGAGCTGTTCTAGCCTGTTGGAGCTCGTGCAAATGAACAAGCCTAGCACTTTGTGTTCTTGTGCATAAGCCTATTCAACTTCCATTTTTTTCTGTTTTGGACGACACGAGAGCTGACACTACATAGTCGATATTACTCATGAGAAAGGCATGGTACATCCTAATGAGGTTTCCTCACCTAATGCCTTCTTTCGGTTGGATATCCCAGCTATTCACCTCAGCATATTCTGCGTTTTTGCTTTGTCGTGGATGATAGTTTTCGCATTACAGCCATCTGCGTCTATGAGCATAGAATTCATCTTTTTAATGAAAGCAAACATTCTACCCTTTCGGACAGAGGAAAAAAATTGAACAAAAGGGGCGCATTCGCAATATTGAGTATATATACCGCATTCGCTCTTAATACTGAGTGCATAGTTGCCGCTTTTCGGAAATATTGCACGTCGTCAAGCGGCGCACAACATGAAAACGTGCGATGAATCGTTGAGTCATCTACTGATAAAGAGCGAATCCACAAGCGATAACCTAGTGCACTAACAGTACCGTTGCTGCCACATATGTTCTAGCACAATGAAAAGCTGAGTCTACGATGTCACAATAAAACTTGTAAGTATTGAGTGCTCAGATAAGTATATGAGTGCTCAGAGAATGCACAAGAACAGAACTCACGCTGCTGCCGCTGATTCTGCAAACTTGTCTGTTTCTTCTCCTCCTCCGGACTTGGATTGAGTCGTATGATGACTGTGGGTTCGTCGTCCGAAAGGTCGTCATCTAAAAACAAATCACACATGTGTAATAACATAGAGCTATGGTCAATCAGTGTATGAACAAGTAATGGGTTAACTGCTACATACGTCTGTTTGGTTCATTTATTAGAAGCACACTGTGAATACATGAAGACAGTGGTTCTGTTTTGGGAGGACAGGGAAGCGTGCCCTCGGCGCGTGCGCTGCTGCTCGGCCCTCTGGCAGAGGAATCTCGTGTGGCCTAAACAGAAACTCAAGCACAACACTAAACCTGAAACTCACGAACACGACACATCTCTCCCCACTCTGTTTGAGTCACCACTGATCTTGATAACGGTCAGGTAGACGGTGACGTCTCGGAGGCTGCTGTGGTGGTCCTTGCAGAGTGTTATCAGATGGGAGTGGCAATGGTGTGGCGTAGCACTCTGGAGCACCTGCAGTCAACGCGTCTTGCTGATTATCAGCCTGGCTGTCTGGGAGGAAAAACGTAAGCAGTGATGACCAGCTGGGACTTCCAGGTGACTCTGTTGCAGAAGCGTTGCCATTCCTAGATTTTTGGCTCGTAGTCCAAATATGGTTTTTGTGTCGTCGCATGACACCTCTGTCCATGCTGGCCAACCCAGACCGATGGCCTGCTTGTTTGATGATGGTTCTTTTCATCCATGCCGGGTCGCCTACGAAGTTCTTCACGTAGATGATTTGCTTTTTGCAAATGCGCCATTCATCCTTTCCTTCTTCCTTGGTGATCTGTGAGTCTGAGGGCTTCAGGTATGTCAATGCGGTCGGAAGTTCACGATCAAACATCAAGGTGTTTTCTTTGTGCCCACTTGCGTTGTCGTGTGCTGCTTTAGCAGAAAACGCGATGAGTGATAGAGACATCCTTCTCTTTCACAAGCACTTGCTTAATTTCGAAGACCATGCGTTAAACTTGAACATTCGTGGCAGGATGGTACAGAGCGCTCATGACATGTTTCACTCCATTTCGTTGGGAAAATTCTTCACTTTCGACCGAAACGAAACATGTCCTATTGTCAGTGACTTATTTTTCGCGGTACACCGAAGGTCGCAAAAAGGTTTCTGCATTCCTTGATTAAAAGTTTTAACTAAATGCTCGTCATTTGCCAAACTTCAAGCAATTTGCTGAATGACTCAACGGCAAGCAACAACATGCTGCCCTCAATGCGTCCTGCAAAATCCAAGTGAATTGTCTCCCATGGTTGTGCTGCTGTTGGCAATTCTGGAAGGGGTGCCTTCGCAGATGCCCTTCGGTTTTCCTGGCATGGTCCGCAATTTTGGGCGGTCTTTTCTGTGCCTTTGCTGAGGCTGGGCCACCAAAGGTATCCTCTAGCATAGGCCTTCATAGCAACAATGCCCCTGTGCCCTGAGTGAATAATTTTTAAAGCTGCGGTGCAAGCTGCGATCGGAGTTACTACTCGAGAGCCCCTGAGTAAGCATCCTTGGAGTGTCGACAGCTCTTGCGCTAGCTTGACATAAGGTCGGAAGTCATCGCCTTTCATTGCACGTAGCTTTCCTTGCTCAGCTGCCTGAATAACTACTGTGAGAGTTTTGTCTTTGCTCGATAGCTCTGCAATGCACTTAAGTGAAAGTTGGGGGTCAATCGCACATTCTAGCATCAGAACATCGCCGGGCAGGGATGGCTCATCTTCATCTCCTTGCAGTGGCAGCCTGCTGAATGCATCTGTGTTCTGGTTTCGACTACCTTTTCTGTAAACGAGGTCGTAACCGTAAGCAGACAGCTTCAGACACCATCTGGTCATACATGGTGACAAGACCTGCGGGAGCAGCCTTTTCGGCCCGAAGATGCTGAGTAGCGACTGGTGATCAGTAGTGATAGTCACATATCTTCCAGTTATATACTTCTAAAAATTATCAACACCAAATATCACAACAAGTCCCTCCCGGTCTAGTTGTGCATAATTCTGTTCCACCTTCCTGAGCGTTCGGGACACGAAAGCAATAGGTGCTTCTGCTCCACTTTCATCCACTTGCGATAAAACAGCGCCAACACCATATGGTGACGTGTTGCATGATAGGAGAAGGGGTTTACACATGTGATAGTGAGCAAGCACTGTGCTGTCGCGAATGAGTATTTTTAATTCTTCTAATGCCTCTTGGTGCTCTTTCTTCCAAATCCACTGGGTTTCTTTGTGTAAAAGCGTGTACAATGGTGAGGCTACTGTCTCTCTGACCTTGAGAAGCAGTCGTAGAAAGCAAGCAAGGCTAAAAAACTTCGGAGCTCAACTCTAGTTTTCTGTGCTGGTGCATCCATGATGGCTTTGACCTTATCTCCAGTCGTATGTACCCCTTGTTCATTGATGCGATGCCCTAGGAAATCCATGTGTTTGTCCCCAAATTGACATTTGTCTCTCTGTAGACGCAGGCCCATATTACACAGTCTTAACAACACCTGGTCTAGCCGTTCGTTGTATTTATTTGGCGTTTCTCCGCAGACAATAATGTCTTCAAACTACATGCTGGTGCCGAAAATTCCGGCGAGAGTTGTTTCCACGATTTTTCGGAATATTGCTGGTGCTGCTGAAATTCCAAATAAAAGTCTCTTGACTGCATACAGTCCATTTATTGTATTCACGGTCAAAACCTTTGCTGTGTCTTCAGTGACCGGAAGTTGCTGATAGGCTTGAACTAGATCAAGCATTGAGAACATTCTTCCACTGGTTGCAGAATGCCTTGTTGCCTGAAGCGCTCTAATTCGTCCTTCACAGCTGGTCTGAGCGCAAGAGGAATCGGTGGCACCTTGCAAAAGCGTGGTGGGACGTTTCGGTCGAGCTCTATGTGAACTGGTGGTCCCTCGGAGCTTGTGACGTCTTGATTAAAAACACAGGAACGCTTTTCTAATATGCGGTGCAGCACTGCAGATTCTGTGTGCGTTGCATCACCCATTTGGTTCACGCCTTGCAGCCGGATTTTGAGAGTACTGAACCAATTACGGCCCAGAAGGTTGCATCCATTACCTTCCATGATATGCAATGGCAGAACGTAATCTTTGTACTTTGCTGCACTTGTACTTGAGCAGTTGCAACGAGGCTCAAGTGCTGTCCTGACCACGTGCGCAGATTTACTTCTGATTGGGCTAGTGGCGACGGTAATGTAGGCCAACTTCTGTCGTAACTTTCCTTGCTGATTAGCGAATACGCTGCCGCAGAGTCAACTTCGAACTCCAAAAGCTTGCCATTAACACGTAGCGGCACCATGAACTTCGGACAAGCTTGTAGACTTTTTACTCTATTAAAGCCCCATGTTGACATGTCTCCAGACTCTTGCATGCTTGCAGGTTTCTGCTCCATTTAATGCGTGCAGTATTGCGTTGCTTTTTCTTTGCAATGCAGGCTCTTTCAAAGTGCTCCATTTTCTTGCAAAAGTTGCACAAGGAATTTCGGAACTTGCTCTCACCCAAATCGTGTGAGCCGTTGCATCTGCAGCAGTGTATCTTGCGTGGAGTGTGCTGCTTTCCTTTCGCGCCTCCTTTTTTCTGGCTTGTTTGGTGCACTCGTAACTTTTCTGTTTAGAGCTTGATGCTCTTCTGCTGCAGGGCAGTGCTTTCCACCCTCTTGGCGAGGTCGAAAGCCTTCTGGAAGGTAAGCTCCCTCTCTGCGAACAGACAATGTTGAACGAGCTCGTTTCGGATACTGCAGATAAAAACGGTCGCGTAACATAATATCCAGGAGGAGCGCGATGGCTGCGGCCATTGTAGTCACCGTTGCCTCAGCCGCGAGCATTGCCCCGGCGCCAAAGTTACAATCCGCGGTGAGCTTACATAAAGTGGCAACGTAAAGAGTAATGGACTCGCCTGGTTGTTGGTCGTGTCTTTGGAATTTGCAGCAACAGTAGAGCTCAGATGGGTGTGGGTGGTAATGTGCAGCCAAGATTCAGACGATCTCTTAATACGGCACTTCTTCTGGGCTCTTTGGTGCTACCAGTGCACAGACGGTGTCAGATGTCTCTGGCCCGCACAGAGTCAGGGGCAGGGCTCGCTTCTTGTCGTCGGCTGTGATAAAATTCGCCACAAAATAGAATCCAAGTCATTGAATAAAATGACGTCCAGGCCTTTCTGAAGGGCTCGATGGAAGCTTGAAGAGACACCATTGGCATTGGACCACACCATATTTTCAGTGAGTTTACGTTTCCCTCATCGCCAGTGCTAGTACGTCTATTCGGTTCATTTACTAGAAGCACACTGTAGATACACGAAGACAGTGGTTCTGTTTTTTGGGGGAGAGGGAAGCGTGCCCTCGGCGCGTGCGATGCTGCTCTGCCCTCAGGCAGTGGAATCTCGTGTGGCCTAAACCGGAACTCGAGCACAACACTGAACCCGAAACTCACGAACACGACATTAACAAAAACGCTATTTTTTTTTTTCTTCTGTTGTGTCGGTCTTGCGAAATGAAATGAGAGCAAACATTTTGGCTTTCGCACTTTATTTGACACCTAATTTGTTACTGGTGAACAAAGGATTAACGGAATGACACAGTACTCCTCAAATGTTCACCAAAGAGAGTTTCCTACATTTTTCATTCTCAATAATAATAATAATAATAACTGATAATAACACCCCAAAACAACGATATGATTATGAAAGACGCTAGTTGAAGGCTCCGGAAATTTCAAGCCCCTGCGCAGACCCTAACTCGAGAGTTAGTGAGCTGAGCAGGTGCAGGAATGAGGCGAAGCACACGTGTAGAGAGAGCGCATGGTCTCAATACGAAAGCACGAAACAATACTGATTAGGGAGGCAGCATTACCTTCCACCCTCCATTCCTCATTAAATAAACAGCAGGCGACAGTGTGGTGCCTATTAAAAACAAGCAACTTCCCAAACCAATTGCTTAGAGTCATTGCTATCCAGATCTCTACTCCGACAAATGTAAACTTTGCAATCAGAGGACGGATCTTACACACTTTATCTGGGTTTGTCCTAACCTCGGGAAGGGGCCAAACACCAAAAATTTCAATGCACAGCAGTTGGAGGCCATGCTGCTTAGCTCA